CATGAATGCGTCATCACATTCCAATGTGTAGACTTTTTAAGCCTGATCATCTATAAAACTGAGGGAATAGTTTGAAAACACTGACAATTTCCTTTTAATCTTCCCTAAATGAAATCATCAAATGCTTTTGCTTTTTGTTCTGTAAACATGTGCTCTCCAGCAAAATATCTATGACACATTTTTCAGTTGCCTAGTACAAACAACTCCGAGATGTACTGAGGCTAATTTGTAAAAACATTTTTAGGTCTCAGATATAACTCTGCTGTTCCAGCCTTCTCCACTCTTTTGGTTAACACTCTGCATATACTATTCTGATCATCTCATCTTCAAAATCAGGAAAACAATAATAAGCAGCTCATAATGGCAGTCAAATTTTCTACCTAAATGCAAATGTACTAATAATCAGTAACTGGACACTCTTCAAAGTGCCTAAGTCACTAAGCTAGAACTCTTCCATTATGTCCATAACCCACTAGGGAAAACTCTGAATGCTCAAGACTGATCACAGTGTTCACTTAATTCTGGGAGGGGGGTGGAGGGGTGAGAAGCATTCCAGGAATAAATGGTTAGCAAAAATGACCCGCAAGAATGAGGTATGAGGAAATCTGTATTGGCCCTGTATAAGGAGTGAGTGATGGGCAACACAAAACAGGAGTGTAGTCCATTACTGAAGTCTGGAAATGAGGTTGCTAGAAAAGGCTATTGGATTAAGACGAGCACCTCTCTAAAAGTGGAGGAGAACAGTACTTTTGAAGGCAGCAAGAAAAATGCCCACATGTTTCTGTCTTGACATCTTCAGACATCTAAGAATGAAGGAAAGTAAGGTATAGTATATATTGCCGGGTAGTGAAAACAATCTTGGGTTACAGGCCAGGGAACCCTGGGTTTAAATCCACAGGGGCCTTTGTGGGTCTCTAATGGGCAAGCAGAGCTGAAACCACTGCATTAGAGACTCCAAAACATAATCACATGTAGACCTAACAGCTCAGTATTAATGCTAGAGGAAACTGGTTATTTAACTGTTCATAGTTAGTAGCTTATAAATCATAAGGGCAATCTCATAAACACAAACACACTGACCTTACCGACTCCTTCAACACATGAAAGATACATCATTAAAAGACCCCATAACAGACCACAGTGAAAAGAAAATGAATGATTCTGAGAAAAAAAGATTTCCCTGTGAAAGAAAACAAAACATATTCCTATAAAATTAACAATAAAATGTTAATTTTAAGACTATCTGGAGCATTATAATGTGTGTATGCCGTTTCTCAGATAGTTTAAGACTCTCAGTGTTAACTGCCCAGCTCTTCTCAAGACATTGTTGCGGGCCGGGCTGGTGTGGCCAAGTGGTTGAACATGGACCGCCAGTTTGATTCCTGGTCAGGGCACATGCCCAGATTGTGGGCCTGATCCCCAGTGGGGGGCATGCAGCAGGCAGCCAATCAATATTGTCTCTCATCGATGTTTCATTCTCTCTCTCCTTCTCCCTTCCTCTATCTCTAAAAATCAATGAAGAAAAAAAAGTTTAAAAAAATAAGCTGTGGCGTAAAAACATTCAAACACATGGAGGCTAAATAGCATGTTATTAACAAAGAATGGGTTACCAAGGAGATTAAGGAAGAAATTAAAAATGTCCTGGAAACCAATGAAAATGAACACACAACACAAAATCTACGGGAAGCAGCGAAAGCAGTTCTAAAAGGGAAGTTCATAGCACTACAGGCCTACCTCAAGAAACAAGAAAAATTTCTAATTAAAGAACTTTAATTCTTTAATTAAAAGAATTAAACACAACTTAAAGAACTAGAAAGCAAACAAAAAGAAAAATCCGGAGCAAGCAGAAGAAAAGAAATAGTAAAGATCAGAGCAGAAATAAATGACACAAAGACTAAAAAAAAAATTCAAAAGATCAATGAAACAAAAAGTCAGTTCTTTGAAAAGATAAATAAGATTGATGGACACTTAGCTAGTCTCAAAGAAAGAGGAACCAAATAAACAAAATCAGAAACCAAAGAAGTAACAACTGACACCACAGAAATACAAAGGATCGTTAAAAAATACCATGAACAATTATACGCCAACAAATTGAACAATTTAGGCAAAATGGACAAATTTCTAGAAACAGTCTCCCAAAACTGAACTGGGAAGAGATAGAAAACTTGAACAGACCAGTAACAACAAAGAAAATTGAAGATGTAATCAAGAATCTCCCAGCAGCCCTGGACGATTTTGCTCAGTGGTTAGAGAGTCAGCCTGCAGACCAAAGAGTCCTGGCTTTGGTTCCTACTAAAGGCACATACCTCAGTTGCAGTTTGTCCCCAGCCCGGCTGGGGTATGTGGGTGGCAACCAATCGATGTGTCTCTCTCACATCCATGTTCCTCCCCCCACCCCAGCAGAACAAAAGCCTGGGCCCGGACTGCTTCACGGGGGAGTTTTACTGAACATTCAAAGAAGAACTAACACCCATTCTCCTCAAACTATTCCAAATTATTGAAGAAGTAAGACTTCCAAACTCATTTTATGAGGCCAGCATAATTCTAATTCCAAAACCAGATAAAGACACTACAAAAAGAAAAAAAAAAAAACTACAGGCCAATATCTCTGATGAGCATAGATGCCAAAATCCTTAACAAAGTATTAGCAAGTCGGATCCAGCAATACATTAAAAAAATTACTCACCGTGACCAAGTGGGATTCATTCCAGGAATGCAAGGCCGTTACAATATTCGTACATCAATAAATGAAAACTACAGAACATTGGGAAAAGAAATAGAAGAAGAAATAAAAAAGTGGAAGTATATATCTTGTTCATGGATTGGAAGAATTAACATCATTAAAATGTCCATTCTACCTAAAGCTATATATAGAATCGATGCAATCCCCATTAAAATACCAATGAGATTTTTCACAGAACTACAATTAATACTACTTCAAAAGTTTATATGGAACCATAAAAGACTCCAAATAGCCTCAGCAATCTTGAAAAAGAAGAACAAAGTAGGAGGGATCACAATACCAGATATCAGGTTATACTACAAAGCTATTATAATCAAAACAGCCTGGTACTGGCACAAGAACAGGCATAAAGATCAATGCAACAGAACAGAGAACCTGGAAATTGACCCAAGACACTATGCTCAATTAATATTTGACAAAGGTGGCAAGAGCACACGATGGAGTAAAGACAACTTCTTTAATAAATGGTGTTGGGAAAATTGGACAGCTACATGCAAAGAAATGAAACTAGACCACCAACTTACACCATACATAAGAATAAACTCAAAATGGATAAAAGACTTAAATGTGACTTGTGAATCCATAAAATTCCTAGAAGAAAATGTAGGCAACAAAATTTCAGACACCACACAGCAAAATTTTCACTGATACAATGCCTAAGACAAAGAAACAAAGGGAAAAATGAACACATGGGACTACATCAAACTAAAAAGCTTCTGCACAGCAAAAAAAACAAACATCAAAATGAAAAGGAAACCCACTATATGGGAGAGTATAAATGCCAATGATACATCAATCAGCTAACGGGTTTATTTCCAAAATATATAGAGTACTCATATAACTCAACAAAAGGAAGACAAAGAACTCAATTAAAAAATGGGTAGAGGACTGAAATAGACATCTCTCCAAAAAAAACACAAAAAACATACAAATGACCAGAGACATATGAAAAAATGCTCAATGTCACTAATCATCAGAGAGATGCAAATAAAAACAACTATGAGGCCCTGGCCAGTTTTGCTCAGTGGTTAGAGCATCGGCCTGTGGTCCAGAGAGACCCGGGTTTGGTTCCTGCTAAGGGTGTGTACCTCGATTGCAGTTTGTCCCCGGCCCTGGTTGGGTTGTGCGGGTGGCAGCCACTCGATGTGTCCCTTTCACGTCGATGTTTCTCTCTCTTTCTCTTCTTCTCTCTTCCTCCCACTCAATCTGAACAAAAAATGAAAAAATGTCCTCAGGTGAGGATAAAAAAAACAAAAACAAAAACAAAATAAACAACTATGAGGTATCACCTCACACCTGCCAGAATGGCCGCCATCAACAAATCATCAAACAACAAGTGTTGGTGAGGGTGTGGAGAAAAGGGACTCTAGTACACTGCTGGTGGGAATGGAGACTGGTGCAGCCACCATGGAAAACAATATGATGTTTCTTCAAGAAACTAAAAATTGAACTGCCATTTGACCCAGTGATCCCACTTCTAGGAATATATCCTAAGAAGCCTGAAACACCAATCAGAAAGAACATACGTAACCCTATGTTCATAGCAGCACTATTTACAATAGGTAAGATCTGAAAACAACCCAAGTGTCCATCAATAGATGAGTGGATAAAAAAGCTGTGGTACATTTACACAATGGAACACTATGCAGCTGTAAGAAAGAGAGATATCTTATCCTTTGAGATAACATGGAGGAACCTGGAGAGTATCATGCTAAGTGAAATAAGCCAGTTGGAGAAAGACAAATACATGATCTCACTTATTTGTGCAATATAATGAACAAAATAAGCTGATGAACAAAATAGACGCAAAGACATAGAAGGAGTACAGTTCAGACTGAAAAACCTCAGCGGAAGGGGTTGGGGGGAGGGATGAGATAAAGCAAATAACTTATGTGCATGTTTGCGTAACCAATGGACATTAACAATGCTTGGGTGGGGGGCGGGATTGGGAGGAAGGTGTCTAGAGGGGGAAAGGAAAAACATCTGTAACAACAAAAAAAAGTTGTTGCAAACCCAACTATTGAGATGATTGTTGAAGTCATTAATGACCCTTCAAAAAAAACTAATAAAGATGAATCAAAAAGAAGTATTGTTATTATTACCAACTTAAATCTTGATTCATTACCAGAAACAATGTGTTTAACAACCGGATATTTCTAACTTTTATTTTTAAAAATTAATTATATTCATGTAGAAAAAAATGTGAAGAAAAATATAAAGAAAATGAAAATGATTCAGTATACCCCCTCCCAAATACAATAACAAAATATATTTCTTCCTAGTCTCTTTGTACATTTATGTAGAATTTTAAAACAAAATTAAGAAGTTTCCTAGATACCTCCCAAAGAAAAAAGCGGTTCTGGAAAATAAAGAAAAGGGGGAACAGCATCTGGGAGTGACAGTTCTGACAAGGAGTCTCAGGGCCCAAAGGTGGTGGCAACTGCAGAAAGGTCAGATACATTTTGTGTGAAAAACAGGAAAAAAATCATGGAAGCCTTGAAAAAGTTAAAGGCTGGAATGAGATTCAATGAAGTGGCCATACAACATAGTGAAGATAAAGCCAGGCAAGGGGGCAGCTTGGATTGGATGACCAGAGGGTCCATCGTGGGACCGTTTCAAGAAGAAGCATTTGCTTTGCCTGTAAGTGGGCTGGATAAGCCTGTGTTTACAGACCCATCAGTTAAGACCAAATTTGGATATCACATTATTATGATTGAAGGCAGAAAATACAATTGTATGGGACACTGAAAAAATAAAAAAATAAAACAAAATTAGTATTGTAAAATGCTTCCATATCCTGTTTTCACTTTATATTATAGAACCACCAATTCTTTAGGACATTAAATATTATATAAAAACATTATCTTCAGTTGGCTGCTTCAAAATCTAATTAGAGCTAAACCATAACTTATCTCCAATTTTTGGATAATTCAGATTGTTTTGAAAATTTGCTATTAAAACGAACACTACATTAAACATCCCTTTTTATACGTTATTCTTTATATGCATTTCTAACTTTTTAAGGATAAAAATGTAAAGATAAAAGGAGTACCCAGCACAAAGGGTGTAAGTATTTTTAACCCTTTTAATACATTTCTACCAAACTGCTCTCAGAAAGATTGTACCAATTTACCGCAACACCAATAAACAGTCTAAGAGTTCTCCAATTCCTTGCTGCCATAGGAAACTGAATGTTACCCCCAGACTTTATTGTTATGAATTTAATGGGGGAAGGGTGAATGGTGTTTTCTTGTCTTTTTTCTAAAGTGTAGGGATTTTCCCACATTTACTGCATTTGCTTTCCATATTTTTTGAAGCAGTCCATGTCTTTCAGAAGGCATCTTTCACATTGGCATGGTCTTATCACAGGTTCTTCCTTAGTGGATAAGGGCATGAAAACTTTTCAAATTTTAAATTAAGCAGGAATTCCCCAAATGATCAGAATTCAAGTCTTCTTGTCTTCTAGGAAGCTGTGCTATTTTAATGTCTTGGTAATAATACAGAGAACTGGGCCATGTTCTGAAAGCAAAAGAGTAACACAGATTACAATTTTCCAAGCACTTACTAATTTTTATGCATGATTTTACCTAGAAATGCTGTTAAAAAACCCTATTTTGATTTTAGGGTGTGGACTCACGAGACATACATTTTTATTAAACTCTCCAGAAAATCCCCATGTTCATCAAAGTAAAAACCATAACCAGATGTGGACTTTGTGCATCACTTCCAATTCCTCACTCTCCTTTCCTGTAAAACGAGGTTTATGATGCTTATCTCAGGGATTGCCCTGATTCTCACTTATCTCCAACCCTTCATATATGCACTAGGACACATTTTATACACAACCCCTCAGCCTGGACTTTTGTTTATGCAACCTCCATTTTTCACCTTATCCCACTGAAAAAAAATCATTGGAATTTTAATATGTTACTCTCTCCAAAGAGAATAGGATTTTCTTCATGACAGCAAGTTGTACGTATCTTTGCAAACCACAACTTGCCGTATCGTGGGCACTCATTATTTCTGAAATAAATTAGTGACTGAATGAATGATACACACTTCAATGTTGAGAGAACTGAGAAACACTCCCCAGAATAAGAAATTATTGTAAGGTGTTCCTTAATGCTGTAGGACAAAGGCCATGATTCTTCATTTTCTCTCTTCAGGTCACATATTCCTTTGAGAATCTGATGAAAGCGACACACACCCTCTTTAAAAATGTATACATTGAAAACAGTTTTACACACACTTTCAGAAGCTTCAGTGAAGAACAGGAAAACACCGATTTTTAATATCCAACATTTTTACTTAAAAATGAAGCTGAAATAACAAATTTATTGTTGACAAATTATCTAAGTTCAAGAGACTATGGTCAAAGGGGGTCAGTTGAGAAACCTAAAACCTAAAACACAAAACTCACTCACATCCTGCAGGTAACGTTAACGTCAGCTAAGGCAAAAGTCTGAGTTACATCTTGGAGAAACGTACGCATGCGCACTTAACCATGCTCAGGTGGTGCAACTCCACTGCATTATACTCATTCACCACACTTAGGTGAATATAACAATTTCTAAATGGACATTCCCCAATCTTAATATTTCCAGTCCCCTTTTCTTCATAATGATAATAAGGGCTTTCTATATTTTAATTATGATGAAACACTTTGTGGAGAAAAGGGATTATTATTTATTCATTAAAAGACATTTATGTCTCCTAGGTATGTAAGTTGAAACCAACTGATGTTGCTCTTTATGAACTTAAAAGTCTAGCAGGAAAGAGAGATTACAAATTCCCACATTCCCGACTTGACCAGTCCTAACGGCACCTCGTTACATGTGCGGGAGGTTGCTCATGCCAGATTACAGGAACCATCTATGTGCACCCTGTCCCAACTTATCAGTGGCTTCATGTTGGTATCTTGAATCAGCTGTGCTGGAGCATTTACACCGATTAAACTGGCAAATACTATAAAATCACGGCTTCTCCACGCCTTGCAGTTGTCAATCATTCACTACCATATTGGGTCATCACACTAAAATTGTGGCTGTCATTCCAGGGCTCCTCAGTGGTAATCAGGGTCGGGAGGGCTTATAAACCTTTCGAATCCCCTCTCAACGATCGGCATAAGACCTAAGAGTATAGGTATTTCCTAGAAGACCTTAAGATATACTGGTTACCCTCTTTGGATATTAAGTGAATGTAATATTTGATCAGTTTGAGGCAACTCCATATGGTTAATCCAAAGTCACAAAATGTCCCTGGCTGGTTTGGCTCAGCGGTTAGAGCGTTGGCCTGTGGTCTGGAGAGACCCGGGTTCAGTTCCCGCTAAGGGCACGTACCTCGGTTGCAGTTTGTGCCCGGCCCTGGTTGGTGGTGTGGGTGGCAACCACTCAATGTGTCCCTTTCATGTTGATGTTTCTCTTTCTCTCTCTCTCCCGCCCACTCTATCTGAACAAAATATCAAAAAAATGTCCTCGGGTGAGGATAAAAAAAAAAGTCACAAAATGTCCAAATAAAATCATGCCTCTTTGAGCTTGGCAGTCAGTTTAAATTACAGGATGGTGCAAAAGTAAGCTTACAGTTGTGAGTATGCGAAACAGAGTTTACTCTTGTATTATGACTTAATAGTTATTCTGTTATTTTCCATGAGCAGCTGCAAACCTACTTTTGCCTCAACCTACATATGCTGGGAGTTTAAATACTGGAGTTGAAAAGTGACCAATCTGTAACCCACCTGATGTTTTATTATTAATTACTGTCTTGGTGTGATGCAACATTAAGAGTAAGTAGATATTCCTCGGCACAGCTTTGTTACTGCTAAGTCAGTTTTAGCTTTAAAGGCTGCCACACTTTGCGTGGACCTGCCAAAGAAAGAACAGCTTGCTCGGCAATGGAGGCCTCATGCAGAGCCAGCACTACCCATCTTCTGAAGGAAGACAGAGATACGCTGCAGAGCAAAACAATGTCAAGAACCTCATTGACCAGGTAATAAAACTCTCCCACCTCGCCCTAGCCGGCTTGGCTCAGTGATTAGAGCATCAGTAGAGCATTGGCCTGAGGACCAATGGGGTCACGAGTTCAATTCCAGTCAAGGGCAGGTACCTCGGTTGTGGTTTGTCCCTGGCCTTGGTCAGGTTGTACTGGAGGCAACCAGTTGATGTGTCTCTGTCACTTCATGTTTCTCTCTCTCTCTCCCCCTTCCACTCTATCTGAAGATAAAAGAAAAAAATATCCTCGGATGAAGATTAAAAACAAAACAAAACTCTCCCTACCTCAGCTTCCAAAGGTTTTACATTACCAGTCAGATATGACTACACCATTTAACAAATGGTTACTTTAGAAGTAAATGGAATTAAAATTTGTAGAAAATATCTAGGCTAGTATAGAATACATGAAGGGATGGACCAAAGGTGAAATGCAAATAGCGAGAAAGACAGTTGAGATCTATGGAAGTGTCTACTTGCAGGTGGCTCAGGACACTTACCTTTAGATTATGGAGGGTTTCTGACCATTCCATGGACCCTATCTGAGGTATGGTAGTGAGGAGTAAACTTTTGGCTTTATTGGCATTTTCTTTCAGAGTCTTTAAAACCCGGTCCACCGAAACCTAGAGAAACAACAGCACAGGATGTAGTCAGCAATGAACAATTGCACTGCTTTTTGTGGAACATTTCTCTAAGTTCCTTCCTGATCTGTGAAGTCAGTTTATTCAAGTTTCAATCCCCTGAGCCCAAGTTTTGCATTTATCAAGATGGTCTTGGTCCCACGGAGGAGGTCTTAGAGAAACCCAACAGTAACTCTAAAAAGTACCATTTTTAATATGGTATCTGACATACTATCTCAGGTGCATAATGTGTTAGCAGGGTCTAGAAAGCTGTGGCTTTCCATGTCCACAGAAAGGATTCCAGTCATAAAACTGCTGCGACAGTGAGTGGATAACCAACCAGTCAGAAGAAAAACATTTTTTCTTTAGAGAAGTCTTCCAGCTAATTAAAAATGATGGAATCAAAGTATCATTTTTTTTTTCTTTTAACAGCTCTCAATGAATTAATGGATGTACTGCTAACACCACAAAACAAAATAAACCCTATACCAAATAAGCTACCCACTTTTCTGATGGAAAACTGAACACTATGTATAATATCTGAATCTGATCAAATCTCTAGATCCAGCTGCCAATTTACATAAAATACAGAGGACAGAGAATCTGGTTAAACTACCCTGAGGAGATGATTTCAGCAATTCAGACTGTGGGAAACTACAGGTCAAATCACTTGGTTTCTTTCTGGGAAACTTGGACGATATTTGAGAGCACTAGGAACTTGAACTTTGCCTAGGAATAGTAAGGCATATGGCTGGAGTGTGATAACAACAATGTGGCTAGGCCAGAAAGCTCCTAACATGTTTATGGACACAGTTATGGATCAGAGTACAGATGAAATATGATTCCAAGTTGATATGATAATTTATGTGAAGTTGGTTCCCAGAAACCCATAGTATTGTCTACTTTTGTAACTAAAGTTGCTTCATAAGGAAAAGGTGGACAAAGCTGTGAATATAAACTGGACGATCAAAGTTAGAGTGCTTGTCACATTTCACTATACTTAGCAGAAATCCAAGATTCAGGAGCAATGATTACAGCTTTCGTTCTCTTTCCTGGAGTATATAGTCCAGACCCCTCCCACAGACACCAACATGTGTTTAGAAAGAATGATCAGTACCGCAGCAGAGGGAGTCCCATTACTTCGGGAACACAAAGTGGTGACCAGCTGGGTGCCCGTCAGGCACACGATGGACACAAGTTAAGTGGAGTCTTAGAATGCAGGGGCATAAAGCACGCAAGAGATTCACCTTATATTTACTCTTTTCCTTGCACTTTTCCTGTGACTGATACTTCTATGCAGACTGACCTCTTTGTTCCTGCTGTTGGAATCCACCCAAAATGCCTTTCTATCCACCTCCTCACAATCAAATTGAACCCTCTGTTTAAGGACCAGCTCAAGTCTCAAAAGTTTCCTTCACAAACTTTTTTGTGGTCTCTCCACTCCCAACTCCCTCATGGCTACCATTAGATGACCACCCTCCTAGGAGCCAGCGCTGTACTAGTTGCTCTACACATACCATTTGGCCTTAATTCCCCTAGTAACCCAGCAAGACCAGAAGTGTAAGTGAACAACTTGCAACCCTCACTCCAAAGCCCTGGCTCCATCCTTCAGAAGAGTAATGTGTTAAATAACATGCCAAGTGCCACAAGTAAATGGAGGAACAGAAAGTTGAATGTGGGTTGGCAACCCACGCCAGACTGTACATTTGGTTTGAAGCCCAATATACATAGCTGGCTGAGATGACATCTGTGTTATACTTTCCTAGTAGCATTTAATATTATTTGCCTTCACACAGAACTTAGTTTCTCTACTTTTTTTTTTTTTTTTTTTTGGTACACGCCCCTAGCGGAAACTGAACCCGGTACTCTCTGGTCCGCAGGCCAACGCTCCAAACGCTGAGCCAAACCGATCAGGGCTAGGTTCTCTACTTTTAACTGAAGTAGTTCCACCTGACTGGTTTCCAAACCTCATGTGGTCCACTAAAGGAAAGCACTGTTAGCTCTGCAGAGGTGAGATATGTTCTCAGATTGGGCAGAAAGTCAGTGTCAGAAAACAATGTGTTCTCAGGAAACGGCAGACACTGAAGTCTACTCATTAGAAGCAGCTTCCTAACACCATAAGGATGCGCAGTCCCTTTGGTGACCAAAGCTGCCAAGTCAGGGATTATATTGTGCCAGGATTTACAAACCTCTTACATTAAAAAGCATCCTTGTAGCTAATTACACGGAGGAGTCAGGATAAGGAATCGCGCAAAACAAAGAACCTGTGTCCATCTATGACGCAAAATCCATATAAATGGATGGACAGACAGCAAGAATATCCTACCCTGTTTTACATGAAACAGATGGTGAGACAACTAGCTCTGAGCTGGTGGTCAAGGTCCCCTTGCAGAAGATGTCTCCTGTTCTAAATGTGCTCCCTACACTTTCTTCTTACTTCAAAATTCCTTGACTGTAGTTCTGTCCCTTTCTGTTAAAATAAGACAAATGATCTGGTTTCTTCAAGTAAAATGCAAGGCATGCAAAGAGAGGGGAATATTAGGTTAAAAGAGACGAAAGAGACACATAGTTCAAATGCAATGTGTAGATTATAAGGGACCTTGATTTGAATAGTTGAAGATGATAATAAAGAGAAAATGTGAACAGCATGGATATTTGATTATATTAATATCAATATTTCTTGATACAATGGTCCTGTGGTTATTTTCATGAAATTTTTTTTTCTTTTCTTTTTTTAAGAGGCCACCCTGGCCGGTGTGGCTCTCATGCACCGACTAGTCACCAATTCCATTCCAGTCAGGGGCACATGCCCATGTTGCAGGCTCGATTCCTGGTAGGGGGCATGCAGGAGGCAGCTGATCAATGTTCTCCTCTCACATTGATGTTTCTTTCACTTCCTCTCTCTTTAAAAATCAGTAAACTATTCTTTTTTTAAAAAAATGATTTCATTGATTTATAGAGAGAGAAAGGGAGAGGGAGAGGGAGAGGGAGAGACAGAAACATCGACAAGCACTGACTGCCTGCCTCCTGCACGCCCCCTACTAGGGATCGAGCCTGCAACCCAGGCATGTGCCCTGACCAGGAATCCAACCGGTGACCTCTTGGTCTATGGGATGACGCACAATCCACTGAGCAACACTAGCTGGGCTCAATAAACTATTCTAAAAAAAAAAAAGAAAGACCTTTCAGAAAAATATTTACTTCAGAATAATGAAGGCAGGGAGAGAAGGGGGTGCGGATGTATATATGACACAAAGTTGAGGGGCTGGGTGGTGGGTAATTGGGTTCATTATATTAGATTCTCTACTTTTGCAAGTGTTCAAAGTTTTCCACAAAGAAAGCATTTGTTCTGGAAGCCTGACCTCAGCAGTCCAGTATCCTCAAATATAAGCTGGACCTTGACTTTCCTGCCTAAAACCCCTCACTGACTTCCCACCTGAAACACACGGTCTCACTCCCTCCTCTCCACTCCACTCAAGCGTGCCCACCTTTCCCATCAGGTGAGGAAGCTTCCCAGACTGCAGTTGGCTGAGTCAACTGGACTCAGACTCCTGTATCTCACCCCACTACTTCTTCACTATCCTGAGCTTTCTCACGTTGGATTGCTTAATCTCTAATCATCCCCTACCCCCCAAAAAAACCCAGAATGTTAGCTCATTACAAACTTGTTTTGTTTGCTGTCATGCTCTTACACCAAGCACAGTATCCTAAACAGAAAATATGAAGAGTCCACTTAACCAGAAAAAGAGATAAGAAACAGTTTGGAAAAACAAAACAAAACCAGAACAGTAGCACAGCACAAGAAAATTATAACCAAGACTTTTATCCTTACAGTAAAACCCAAGTCTTAATATGATTTCCAACACACCTACATGACTACAATGTACTGTTCACTGCTAATCCTTGCATAAAAGTGTCTTTTTTCTTTCCTATAAAGATCTTGATTCTTACTTTCCAAAGGCAACTATAGGAAATTTCGGGTAATATCTAATGACAATGTATTAAAAATTGACTTTAAAATCTGGTGGAAAGATACTTTCTGGAACTAGTGCAATGGAAACAAATAGTTAAGATCCTCTCTTACTGGCAATTAATACCTGGAAACTCAGGCCATATGTGCTCTGGAGAGAATGCCACCTACCACTTCCTCATGCTCCTTCCAGCAATCGTAATCTGTTGCCATAGCGATACTTGCATAGCAAAGTCCAGCCTCCTTAGCTAGAATCACCTCTGGAACTGTGGTCATGTTGATAACATCCGCCCCCCAGGTTCGAAACATTAAGCTTTCTGCCCGTGAACTAAACCGAGGTCCTTCGATTGTGAGCATTGTCCCTTTTGAGTGGCATCGAAGTCCGAGCTTCTTAGCGGTCTCTATGAGGACCTAGAAGAGAAAGAACCATAAACTTAAGCATACAAAAACGTTAAGTACAGCTTCCTATTTTATTTCTCCCCCTGAAATTCAAAGAAGTTGATTAGTTAACGATTTTTAGTATAAAAGCCTAGTAGCTGCAGGTCCTCAGAGAGAACCTGGGAGGATCAGTGTCCAAGATCCTCACACACTTACACATCCTGTTTCCCAGCCCTGCACATATAGCCCACGGCTACAAGAGCGAACAGAGAGCTTTCTCTAAGCACCAGGAATTTGATTCCATGCTTTGATCTCATCTACTTCTTAACAACTTGAAGAGACTAAGTTGGGTGGTGAACAAGGACCTGGGTCCAAGCTCTTCACCTCCAGGCTCAGCTCAGGTGGTGCTCCTCATTCAGAGAGAGGCGCTCACAACTGTTTCCAAGCTCCTGGGAAATGCACTCTTATAGCTCTTTTGTAAAATGTCCGAAGACTTCTGTAAAAGCCTTTCATTTATTTATTTATTTAGGTTAGAAAATAATTACTTCACAATCTCTTTTGCCTGTTGCCTCTCCAAGAACATACAATAAAAATGAGACGGGCTTTTTAAAATCTGGTACCAGCCCTGGCCGGTTTGGCACAGCAGTTCGAGCTTCAGCCTGCGGTCCAGAGAGACCCTGGTTCAGTTCCCGCTAAGGGCACGTACCTCGGTTGCAGTTTGTCCCCGGCCCTGGTTGGCTGTGCGGGTGGCAGCCACTCGATGTGTCCCTTTCACATCCATGTTTCTCTCTCTCTCTTCCTCTCTCTCCCTCCCACTCTATCTGAACAAAAAATGGAAAAATGTCCGCAGGTGAGGATTAAATAAATGAATAGATAAATAAATAAATAAAATCTGGTACCAGTCAAGATGGCAGGTAGGAAACATGGTCGCTCCTCTTCCCACAACCACATCAAAATTACAACCAAGCTACAGAACAACCAAGCTACAGAACAACCATCCTGAAATCAAGCTGAATGGAAGTCCTCCAACTATAAAATTAAAGAAGCAGCCACATCAAGGCAGGTAAAAGGGGTGGAGGTGCAAACAGGCTGGTCCCACACCCATATGTGGAGGATAAAAATCAAAATACCTCCACTGTAAAGGTCCTCCTTGAAGAGTGAGGAGTCCCCATCCCACACCAGATACCCAGCTCAGTGTTCCAGTGCCAGGAAGAGAAGACCCATAACTTCTGGATGTAAAAACCACTTGGAACTAAGGCTGAGAAAGGCTGAGGCTTCTAGAGTCCCAGGCAGCTCCTCTTAAAGGGCTCGTGGATGGACTTCCGTGGACCTGCTCCCTCCAGGCTCCAGCATGGGGAGGCGGCTTGAAAGGCACCAGAGACATACGGGGAACAACTGACTTGTTTGGCACTGGGACGAGAGCTAGAGAGGCGGCTTTCTCTTGGACAGATGTGCTGGCAGAGGCCTTTGTTTCCTTGGTGAGCCCTTCCCCCACAGGCAGGCAGACAGCCCCCATACCTGGGGCTCCAGCAATCTGGTTCACAGTTTTTGCCCCGCCCTGGTGATTCCCTAAGGCCGTGCAGCATCCAACTTTCAGGCCCATCTAAGCTATTTCCAGTTGGCTTTACCACAGGATTGGCCAGTCTTTAGATTTTCCTAAATTCTCTAAAACAAACAGCATCAGGCCTCAGAGAGCTCCATGCCTCTCGCTAACTGGCCCCAGGCCTGGCACTAGAAGCAGTCAGCCTTGGTTCACAGCTTGGCTTTCCTTGGGCACCTCCAAGACCAGCACAAGAAGCAGCCATCTGCAGATCACTTGGTAGCTTATGCCTGGTGGCCCCGGTTAAAACATAAGCAGTGGCTGACCTTGCCCCAGAGCCAGCACACCCAGTGGACAGCTTCAGACCACATCAAAACACCACCACCCAACCACCTCCACAAGTGACACACTCAATGAGTGGACTCAGTGGGTACCAGAGCCCTGCTGAAGTAAGTCTTGCTCTGTGTGGTGGGCCCTACAGAGATGATCCTCCAAGGTAGTCAGAGGCCAGTGGTTAGTGGGCATAGCCAGTCTTTGAAGCTCATTAGCCCAAGTAAATCCCTCCCATTGATGTGCCAACAGAAATCAAGACGCAATTACAACACAAGGATGTACAGTCCACACTAGGGGTGCACATCAAGGGCTCAGCTGTGGTGATCAGGGAGGCTGTGCCACTGGATCCTACAGGACACCTACAACAGTAGGCCACCCTATGAAACCTAGGAGACATAGCAACTCTATCTAATACACAGAAAAAAACACAGGGAAGCAGCCAAAATCAGGAGACAAAGAAACATGTCCCAAATGAAAGAAAAGAAAAAAACTCCGGGAAAAGAACTACACAAAATGGGGACAAGTAACCTAACAGATGCAGAGTTTACAACACTGGTTATAAGGATGCTCAGGGAACTTAATGACACATTCAAGGAACTTAAGGAGAACTCCAAGGAACTTAGTGAGAACATCAACAACATAAAAAAGAACCAGTGAGAAATGAAGGATGCACTAACTGAAATAAAGAATAATTTACAGGGAATCAATAGAAGAGTGGGTAAAGCCAAGAAGCAAACCACTGATTTGGAATATAAGGAAGCAAAAAACACCCAATCAGAACAGCAAAAAGAAAAAAGAATCCAAAAAAATGAGAATAGTGTAAGGAGCCTCTGGGACAACATCAAGCGTGCCAACATTCACATCATGGGGGTGCCAGAAGGAGAAGAGAGAGAGAGCAAGAAATTGAAAACCTATTTGAAAAAATAATGACAGAAAACCTCCCTAACGTGGTGAAGGAAATAGACATACAAGTCCAAGAAGCACAGGGAGTCCCAAACGAGATGAACCCAAAGAGGTCTACACCAAGACACATCATCATCAAAATGCAAAAGGTTAAAGACAAAGAGAGAATCTTAAAAGCAGCAAGAGAAAAGGAGTTTGTTACCTACAAAGAAGCTCCCATAAGACTGTCAGCTGATTTCTCAAAAGAAACTTTGCAGGCCAGAAGGGAGTGGCAAGAGATATTCAAGGTGATGAAAAGCAAGAACCTACAACCAAGATTACTCTATCCTGCAAAGCTGTCATTTAGAATCAATGGACATAGCGAGTTTCCCAGACAAGAAAAAGCTAAAGGAATTGATCACCACCAAACCAATATTATATGAAATGTTGAAAGGTTTTCTGGAAGAAGAACAAAAATATGAACAATAAAATGGCAATTAATATATATCTATCAACAATTGAATCTACAAACAAAACGAGCAAGCAAAACAGAAACAGACTCATAGATACAGAGAACTTTTTGTTGCTTGCCAGATGGACGGGAGCTGGGGGGATGGGTGAAAAAGATGAAGGAATTAAGAAATACAAATTGGTTGTTAGACTGATAAACCTCAAAGGGAAGGGGGTAGGGGAGTCAGGATGAGATAAACCAAAGAACGTCTATGCATAACAAATGGACACTGACAACAGTGTGGGAAAGGCAGGAGGGGGGCAGGATTGGGAAGGAAGGGATCAATAGGTAAAAAAAGAGGGGACATCTGTAATACATTCAACAATAAAGATGAGTTAATAAAGTGTAAAGAAAAAAACCCCCTCATAGGTTGTCATTCCCTTGCATCCACAACTTACAACTGAGGAACTGCACAATGGTGCATCCTTAACTACATTTAAGAGAGTACTAGCTGTCTTTGATAACCATTTAAGAAAGTAACTTTCCTCTACCTGGGGCTAAAAATAACGTTAGGTAAAGTCTGCCCCTTAATGTTTAACACCTTGACTGGAAGACAAATATGGTCAAACATAAGAGGATGGTAAAAATGCCATGTAATGGCTGCAACAAATTAAAATGTGGCAATTTTTGCCCCCAAATTCTCCCAAAAGTATCTGAGGCAACTGCTGCTAAAAAATTATGAAGAAGATTCTGGAGGCTACAAGACTGTCAATAAAATGTTCAAATAAATAAGCAGAAAACAGTCAATAAAATGATGATCAAAGTAGCCCGGCCGGTGTGACTCAGTGGTTGAGTGTCGACTCATATACCAAGAGGTCACCAGTTTGATTCCCGGTCAGGCACATGCCCAGGTTGTAGGCCAAATCCCCAAATGGGGGGTGGGGGAGGGGGGCATGTAGGAGGCAGCCAATAGATGTTCTCTCTCATCGATGTTTCTATCTCTTTCTCCCTCTCCCTTCCTCTCTCTCTAAATCAATATGGAAAAAAAATTTTTTTTTCTAAATCATGATCAAAGTAGACAAAGCAAGAAATAGGACTAAAAAAAAAAAAAAAAAAGGCCAAGTGTCATATTTAGGAAGCAATTATCTGATATCAGAACTCAGAGCCCCCTTAGGCCTAACATATGTACATATTAAGTATGGGATGACCGATGAAGTGTGGCAGATTATATTTACCAAAGGTTACTTGCATTTCAAAAATGAATTAACTTCTGAAACAATAAAATGTTTTCATTCACTTAACAAATATTTGCTGAGCACCTACTGTGGGGATATGATGGTGAGAAAAACAGGAAATTCTGCTGGGGTCATGAAGTTTAGGAGGTGGAGGTAAAGCCAGATATTGATCAAACAACACTTGCAGTTATACAATTGCAAACTGAGGTAAATGAGGGAACCAAGGAGAAGAAAAATTATTCTATAGAGTTTATGTCAAAGAACCTGATCAAGGAAGTATCCTCAAAGCATTAAGCATTAAACTGAGATCTGAAGGATTGGTTGGGTTGAATGATTTGAGCTTTAAACAGGATTTAATAGAGGGTGGTTATGTTAGTTTCCTAGGGCTGCCATAGAAAGTGTCACAAACTGGGTGGCTTAAACAACAGAAATATATTGTCTCACAGTTCTGAAGGCTAGAAGTCTGAAATCAAGCTGTCAGTCAGTAAGATTGGTTTCTTCTGAGAGTGGTGAGGGAAAACTGTTCCTTGCCTCTCCTCCAGATTCTTCTGGTTGTTTGCTGGCAATCGTCTGTATTTCTTGGATTGTAAACCTCTGTTTACATCTTCAATTGGCATTCTCTCTGTGTACAGTTTTTTTTGTATTTAAATCTTCCTTTTTTATAAGGACCACAGTGATATTGTATTAATCATTATCTTTAATTATATCTGCAATGATCCTATTTCCAAAGAAGGGCACATTTTGAGGTACCTGAGGCTAGGGCTTCAACATATGTATTTTGGGGGCACACAATTGATGTGCCAACAGCAATCAAGACTCAATTACAACAGAAGGGTGGACAGTCCACACGAGGGGTGCACCTTGAGGGCCCAGCTGGGGTGCCCAGGGAGACTGTGCCACTGGATGCTACAGGACACCTACTAAAATAGGCCACCCTAGGAAGCCTAGGAGACACAGAAACTCTACCTAATACATAGAAATAAACACAGGGAGGCAGCCAAAATGAGGAGACAAAGAAACATGTCCCAAATGAAAGAACAACAACAACAAAAAACCTCCTGGAAAAGAAATAAACAAAGTGGAGATAAAAAAATCTAACAGATGCAGAGTTCAAGACACTGGTTATCAGGATGCTCAAGTAACTTAGTGAGGACCTCAAGAACATAAAATATGACTAGTCAGAAATGAAGGATGCACTTACTAAAATAAAGAATAATTTACAGGGAATCAATAGGTAGAGTAGGTAAAGTCAACAAGCAAACCATTGATTTGGAATATAAAGAAGCCAAAAACACTCAATCAGAACAAAGAATAAAAAAAAAAAAAATGAGGATAGTGTAAAAAACCTCTGGGACAAGTTCAAGCATGCCAATATTCATATCATGGAGTTCCAGAAAGAGAAAAGAGAGAGCAAGAAATTGAAAACCTATTTGAAAAAATAATGACAGAAAACTTCCCTAACTTGGTGAAGGAAACAGACATACAAGTCCAGGAAGCACAAGGAGTCCCAAATGAGATGAACCCCAAGAGGTTCACACCAAGACATATCATCATCAAAATGCAAAAGGTTAAAGACAAAGAAAGAATCTTAAAAGCAGCAAGAGAAAAGCAGTTAGTTACTACAAAAGAGCTCCCATAAGACTGTCAGCAGATATCTCACAAGAAACTTTGCAGGCCAGAAAGGAGTGGCAAGAGATATTTAAGGTGATGAAAAGCAACAACCTACAACCAAGATTACTCTCTCCTGCAAAGCTATCATTTAGAATTGATGGACATATCAAGAGTTTCCCAGACAAGAAAAAGCTAAAGGAGTTCATCCCCACCAAACCAGTATCATATGTAATATATGTAATGTTGACAGGTCTTCTTGAAGAAAAAGAACAAAAACATGAACAATAAAATGGCAATAAACAGTTATCTACCAACAATTGAATCTACAAACATAATGAGCAAGCAGAACAGAAACAGACTCAGATAGAGAGAACTGTTTGTTGGCTGCCAGGTGGGAAGGGGCTTAGAGGATGGTTAAAAAAGGTGAAGGAATTAAGAAGTACAAACTAGCCCATCCGGTGTGGCTCAGTGGCTGAGCATCGACCCATTTTATATATATATAAAAAAATGGAGTGAGCCCAGCTGGAGTAGCTTAGTTGGTTGGAGTGTCGTCCCATGCACTAAAAGGTTGCCGATTTGATTCCTGGCCAGGGCACATACGTAGGTTGTGTGTTCGATCCCTGGTTCAGGTGCACACAGGAGGCAACCAAGTGATGTTTCTCTCTCACATCGATGTTTCTCTTTCTTTCTTCTCTTTCTCCCCCTACCTCTCACTTCCTCTCTAAAATCAATAAAAACATATGCTCGGGTGACAATAAAAAAATGAATATATAACCAGCCTAGTCCTGTCTTCATTAAATGTCTTTAAAAGTCCCAAATAACCGAGCTATATGTCTCAGTCAACCATCAGAGTGCTTCTAGAGATGAATGAAGGAAGATCACAGCTACTCTGTGCCAATGGCCTGTGGTATGGAAGTCCTCACCATTGCTCTGGGGGCCATGATGGGAGGAGAAGGAAGCAGAGGCTCCTGGATGTAGACTGGCCACAGTGATGGGCTCTGGGGTCTCTCCATTTGAACCAGCACTTTGCGCCACCATGAGAATAGATTAGGTATCAGAAACACAAACACAAACAGGGTGAGAGATTTCTGAGTCTGAGGCTAAGCTGCCTGCATTTCCATGTCTTGAGTAATTATAAGGGAACTCCTGACTCTACCCCCATTATCATAAATATATTGGCAATACTACATCACTTGGCTAAATATATTTTATAAGTCAGAACTCCCAAAGGGTGTATATCAAATTACTTCCTAAGATGACTAGAAGTGACACTATTTTTGGAATAGGTAAAAGTTGCAGGGTACAAAATGATATTATTCTCCTACCTGTGTCCTAGCGATGCAGTTCACCTTCCCAAGGGAAACCAGAGTTTTCTGTCAACTTTCCCAAAACACTCTTTTTGCACATAAATATTTCTCATATTCATCTCTTTATACATGCACACGTATTTTAATACAAATGGAAGGATATGGTACAAACATGGTTCATCAAGGGAGGCCAAGTTCTATTACTGGCAGTTCTCACGTACCACCACATTTACAAGGACTCTGTACACATCCCTGCACTGCCATCGTCCACCTCTACCTCTCATACTGTAAGTCGCTATTTTCTGCCTAGCACAAGATCTTCAGTTTCTTACTAACATGATGTTCTCTCCCTAGTCTATTTCTTCATAAACTGCCCCCATTTTGAAATGGACAAGAATTTTATGCACATCTAGTTTCTTCTAGAGAGCAAACTTACCATGTGGGCAGATCTGTGTTTCAGAGGGAAGACTGGCAGCATTCTGATCCATTTTGCTGATAACTACCCAGAAACATATACATCTAAATACTTACACACACTGAATCTGCCATTTTTTTAAACAAGCAAAACATGTACTTTTCACTGAACTCCGAGAGAACGCGCACAGTGGTACACCTCTAATGGCTCCCTGCAGCTCCTGACTTTGCATTCTAGATTTTGTTTTTGAGACCAGGGTGAGGTTCAGGCTCCCTTGCTGTTGACTATAAGAAAGCTGGTTTTACATGGTTATACAGGGGTGAATATAAAGCTATAAAAAGTCTGCTTTTCACATGCAGGTGTTAAAATGAGCTGAAGGACTAACATGTTTAGGTATTCATATTCCACAAATTAATTCAAAAGTTGGTTTCATTAGGTCGTTCACCACTGATAATGTTTCTAACCTGTTGTGTGGCACCTAACTTTCAAAGATGGGATTATATGAAAAGTGCCACGCGTGGGCCAAGAGATGGACCTTTGAATTGTGGCAGCCATTTTTATTCTCTGAGAGCTAAGGTTGTGATTCCGACCTCTGTGGGGCTGCCCCCCTTGTTCTGAGATTTTACTCTAATCTCAGAGAGAAATGGCCAAACTCAGCTCCAAGGCAAATGATGAGAATCTGACAATTTACAGAATATCAATAACAATAATTTAATTCATAAAAGCAGTCAGCAGTCATTGGATGTTTCAGTACTAATAGGCATTCAAAGCACTTTGGAGATATTAACTCTTTTATCCTTCACACAGTTCCACGATGAACATGTAATCATTACCTTTATTTTACAAATGAGGAAACTGAAGCCCAGCGGTGTTAAGTATTTTGTCCAATGGCGTACAGCTATTAAGCTGAAGAGCAAAGATGTGATCCCACATAGTCTGGTTCCAGACTATCTTACTCTTGACTAATATGCTAGTCTATAGTAAATTACTTAAAAGGTATCCTGATAGTAAAATCAAAACTTATAGAAAAGGTAGATTGTAACTTCGAGTGATTCAGCTTAAAAATGACTGACAGTAATGGAGGAATTATTAGCCAAGGGAAACGACTCTTCACAAAACCTTGCAAAGGAGTAAACTTGGGAGGGGAAGAGAGACCACGTTCTTATTAACCAATTAATCTAACTCTAGATGCCACCCCAAGCCATGATTTATTTTGGTGTACTTTCCAGAAAGATTACAAACCTCTCTCGTTTTGGGGCAGAACGGCTCGGCCACTGAGATATGGCACACTCCTCTGGCACAGGAGTGACTCCCATCATAGAAGGTCTGAGGCCTCATGGTGGTCCTACAAAATAAAGGGAAAAGGGTTTGTTTTGTTTTAAAGAAGGCCATCTTGCCCTGGCCAGGTGGCTCAGTTGGTTGTGCATTGTCCTGTGCACCAAAAGGTCGCTGGTTCAATTCCCAGTCAGGGCACATACCCAGGTTGTGGGTTTGATCCCTGGTTGCGGTATATACCAGAGGCAACTGATCAATGTTTCTCCTCTCTCTCTCTCTCTCTCTCTCCCTTCTTCTCTCTCTAAAATCAATAAAAATGTATTTCAAAACAAATAATAAAAAAGGCCATCTCTCTATTCCCTGGGGGCTGGCAAATCAACTGTATCTAGGTCAACATCTTAGTCCTCACTCCAGAATCAATAGCTCTGGATAAGCTGAAGGCAACTGGTAAAAAAGCAGCTCCAGGATGGTATTTGGCTTCCCTGGCTCTGGGCTGGTGGCAGTTTACTTTCCAACAGGAAAGTGTCTGTGGTCTGGTGGCCATGACAGGATAACTACAACGCATTACAGGTACAACTCAACCCTGGGCCCAAGAGGGCAAGTAAAACACTTAGGAAGTCAACATGAAAATTCCCAATCATTTTGAAGGTAGAAGACTGCATAGTGAAACCCATTTATATGTATCACCTAGATTCAACAATTTCCAAAAATGTGTCAAATGTGCTTATCTGTTAGCATTTCCTTGGTTGCAAATCCCAGACTTTGTCATTTCACCCCTACTTCAGATGGACCAAACTATACTGCTTATTTCCACTGCAGTGCCATTACCACATTAATACAAATAACATTAATTCCTCAATATCAGCTAATACATAGACCACATGCAAATTCCCCTGATGTCCTAAAAAATGTCCTTTTTGAAAAAACAGTTGCTTTCTTAGTTTTGGGTCCATAAAAAGCCCTCGTCTTGCATTTGATTGTCATGTTTTTAAATTGAGAGTAATCCCTCCTCTCCATCCCCAATCTTATTTTCCACGCCTTGGATCGAAGAGAGCAGACTGTCCTGCTGCACACCCAGGAATCTAGCTCTCTGCTGCCTTGTTTGGCTTGTTCCTCTACCTGCCGTGATTCTTTCTGAAGTCTCTTAGGACCACTTTTTCATAAAACATTTTTGAATACACAAAAAGAGGCTAAAACTAACCCCGTGCCAAGTCACCCAGCAAGGTCTCACCAGAAATTTTCAGAATAAGCCACTTTTGAGCCCACCACATTGTTCTAACTTGAACTCATGAGTAACACAGAAAAGGGAGTCCTCCTCTTTCCTGCAGGGGAGTGCAGGGGAAGGTGGGAAATGGCACTGAGAAACAGGCATGTCTACCTAACAAAATTATCCTGTTACTTCCACCTTTTGTCACCTACCGAACCCTGACACTAGCAGACCAAAGCCACCTTGCTCAAAGACAAAGTCTCAGTGCTGTGGATGAATGACGACCCTGTCAGTGTTTTAAAGCCCAGGCTAACTTAACCATGAAGCAATTCTACTTGGGCAGAAGAAAAGTCAAGCGACTGTTCCAGCCCGTATTATCAGGGGCCTTCTCTTTGTGTAAAACTGATCAATAAATGGTGCCACGTACTCTAGCTCTGGCTTGGTTTCAGCCTTCAATGAGTGACATATCCATAACATTTCTACTTATATTAGTAACCGTGACCGAAAGCGTTAGTCCCCCAAGCGGGAACTCCCCCATCTTATCTATCTCTATCCTCTCTTCTATCTCCATCCCTTCTTTGCCTTATCGCTCCTCTTTGTTCTTTTACCATAAGATATAACATGCATTATTCACACTTTATTAGGCTATAAGTAAGTGATACTACTCGACTAGTTTTAATCCCTTCAAGTGGAACATTTTACATTTTTCTCTTTAAACAAAGCTCCCTAACTATTAGCTATATGACTTATAACAAATTACTATCATATCTTCTTGTTCTCTATTTTCCATTAATAAAATATAGTGATTATCCACACACTTATAAGGGCTTTATGAGGACTACAGCTTAGAACTGAAGTATGGGCTAGAGACAGAATTGGAAGCCAGTACCAAGGATAAGCTGTGGCTGAGGATGGGGTATCAGAACACCCCACCTTGTAAGGGCAAGTGAAGCGGGTAGCCCCTGGAGAAAATGAAGACTTTAAAAATCAACATTTGCAATGGTTTCAGGGTTGACCATGCTGTCAAAATACTGGAAAGGAAGCTGCAGGTGAGAAACCCCTCTTTGCATAGCCTCTCCACTTATTAGTGGTGTTTTGCATGACTAATTTAAGTGTCAAGACATTTGATGAAATGCTTAGTGATCTAAAGTTAAATCACTATACACAGTAATACTCCTGTACAGTATAAAATGATGAAGCATGCCCTGGTCAGTATGGCTCAGCAGTCAGAGCGTCACCCATGGACCAGAGAGTGCTGGGTTCGGTTCCTGCTAAGGGCATGTACCTCGGTTGCAGTTTGTCCCCGACCCTGGTTGGGGCTGTGTGGCTGGCAACCATTCGATGTGTCTCTCTCACGTTGATGTTTCTCTTTCTTCCTCCCTCCCTCCCTCCCACTCTATCTGAAGATAAATGCAAAAATGTCCTCGAGTGAGGATAAAAAAAAAAAAAATGACGAGGCATGATTAATGATGAATAAAATTCAGCAACGGGGTTCACAATCACAGATGCAGTGAGTGGAGAACACCACTCAAAGGAAATGCTAGAGTGACTAATGCTAGTGTGTATAATTTTAAGAACTCTTACTCGCCCCCTCTGCTGGTTTTTAATTACAGAAGTTCGAGTTTCAAAAAATAAGCAAATTTCCAAGAATACACTTGTCAGACAAGTCCCACACAGTAGGGACCGTCAGTTGGTGGAGCCTGTGTTAACATGGCCTGCCTGCTGACGGCCAATCTCCAGCCAACACAACTCTTCCAGCAGAACAGTTCACTCTCATGCTATTTTCACAGTGATATGGAGAAAACATAGGAAATGTAATTTTGTAACTCATTTGATCTTGTTACTAATTTGTGTGTGGTCTTAAACAAATAACCTCCCTGAGTCCCTTCTTCATAAGGCAAGTAATAGCAACATCTATACTAACGCCCTTGTATAAACATGAAATCAGAGCCCCCAAAACCTCCAGCAGTTACATCCCAATAGACTTGGATGCAATAACATCTCTATTTGATATGGCAGATGTGTGTATTTGGGGATCAGTAATAACTGGTGCAAAGAGCTATTGCTACTATTGCTTTGAAAATGACCCAGCACTGGGCACACAGTATTCACTCAAATCACATTAGACACGGACCCAGGTGCAGCAGAAGCAAGTACATGGAGTGGGTCAATGGAAGCACTCTGCACATAGTTTCTTGAAGGAAGAAACGAGGTCTGCAACAGTGCCTGGGTGGGCACCTTTTCCTGATAAAGGGGGCCCTTAAGCCTGGCCGATGTGGCTCAGTGGATTGAGAGTCATCCCGTGGACTGAGAAATCCTGGTTCAATTCCCGGTCAGGGCACATGCCCAGGGTGCAGGCTCGATCCTTCAAAGGGATGTGCAGAAGGCAGCTGATTGACGTATCTCTCTCATATCAATGTTTCTTTTTAAAAATTTTTTTCTTTATTGATTTTAAAGAGAGAGGAAGGGAGAGGGAGAGAAAGATAGAAACATCGATAAGAGAGACTATCAACTGGCTGCCTTCTGCATGCGCCCCATGCTCAGGTGCACAGGTCGGCGCTCAACCATTGAGCTACACCAGCTGGGCAATTTTTTTTTTCATCCCCTTCTATCTCTCACATCAATGTTTCTATCTCTTTCTCCTCTCTCCCCACCAAAATCAATAAAAACATATTAAAAAGGGGGGAGGGGGCTTAATGGGATCTGTTCTTCCTTCCATCAAGAAACAGAACTGAAACCTATTCCTGGGCCCATGGCTAAATTCGTCTCAGACAATGTCAAACTGGCTGGACCTAAGGGGAAGCCGTGTTCCAGCTGTGGGTGACAAGCATGAGAAGGATCCCATTCCTCCCAGAAGCAACCCAGACCAAGGACAAGAAAAGTTTAAGAGTGGTGGTTGTCCTACTGACTTGTGAAAGTGGCACAAGGTGGCAGGCAGAATGCGCCCCCATCCCTGCCCCACAGATATCTACATCCTCATGCCCAGAACCTGTGACTATGTTATGTTACATGGCAACAGGGAACTAAGGCTACAGATGGAATTAGGGTTGCTAACTGGCTGACAATAAAATGGAAAAAGTATCCTGGATTAACTCAGGGGCTCAATGTCATCACAAGAGACCTGACATGTGAATAAAGGAAGCAGAGGAGTCAAGGTCAGAGTGAAGAGATGTGAGGGGCACTCAACCTACCCCTGCTGGCACTGAAGATGATGCAGCCGTGCCGACACCTTGATTTTAGTCAGTGAGACTTAGTGAGAGTCCTACAGGATTATAAGATAATAAGTTTGTGTTGTTTAGGTCACTAATTTTGTGATAATTTGTTTTTTTGTTTTTTTTTATCCTCACCCGAGGACATTTTTTCCATTTTTTGTTCAGGTAGAGTGGGAGGGAGAGAGAGAGAGAAACATCGACATGAAGGGACACATCGAGTGGCTGCCACCCGCACAACCGACCAGGGCCGGGGACAAACTGCAACCGAGGTACATGCCCTTAGCGGGAACCGAACCCGGGTCTCTCAGGACCGCAGGCCGACGCTCTAACCGCTGAGCCAAACCGGCCAGGGCTGTGATAATTTGTTATAACAGCAATAAGAAACGAATACACATGCGTATGTGGTTTAAGATATAGTTAATTCAGTTATGGATTCTGCAGTAATAAAAAATTAGTGATGAAGGTCTGCCCCCAATTCTTGCTTTATTCCTGACCCTTCCAGCCCAGTAAGGAGACTGCTAATTTCACCTCCCCATTAGCTTGGGACATCCACTGGAAAACAGACTTGAAGGACTGGTTGATGTGGCTGGCTTTACTGCCTAATCACCAGCTGTGTACCTCTAGAAAGTCATTCTGATCTCTCTACACCCC